AATAATAATAATAATAATAATAATAATAATAATAATAACAACAACAATTATAATAAAATTATTATAATAATACCAGTTATGTTGTTCTTGCCAAAAAAGGAAATAGGGGATTGAAAATAAATACTCAAGATACGAGCCAAAAAAAAGGCTTAATAGATACGCAAATCCTACATGTGTGTTGTTTTCTATATGTGATGGCTTAATTGTAAACAAGCTACACTGGTCGGGTTTACCTAAAACACATAAAGATTATATCAAGCATAAAATTAACATTCATTCCCCCAAAAACCTCAATTTATTTTTTAGGTAATTTTTCAAAATAATGAGAACTCTTACCAGAGCCACTCCTCCTGGTCTCACATAAGCAGCATGCAAACGTGCACCAGATACACGTTCATAAAACTCCATCAGCTACACAGAAGACAACAGTTTAATGAATCAAGATAAGGCCAGTGACAACATAACAAGGTGCTACATATAGTCTTGCCAATATAATTAACTACTACAAAACACTTTCAAAAATACTTTCAGGATCACAGCACATGTAGCTTTATCAACAAGAGACAAGTTCTCGTCTACAAATAAAACATGCCCTAGAAACGTTTGGGATTTCATTCATTCGGGTAACAAATGAAAACAAAACCTTTGTAAGACCAACTGCACGTGTTCATAGAAATTATTACCATAACTGAAAATATCCCTGGTAGAAAAAAGGGTCTCTCACAAATGCCATTTGAAAGCAACTACAAGGGATAAGAGGGGGATTTGCATGCTACTAACTTACATTCCCACAATTCACAAATAATATTTTATAATCATATAACTCACCTTTTCTCTTTCTTCAAGAAACCAAAACATTGGCGTCATGGCTCCAACATCAAGGGCATGGCTACCCAGCGCCATAAGGTGATTCAGAATTCTTGTAATTTCTCCAAATAACACTAAAATAAAGAGAAAGACAATCAGAATACACCAATGGGAGGAGTTAATTAAATAATTAAATGAAACAATTCGAGTCAGACAGAGTATACAGGAAACCTAGTAAAGAAAATTTGTTGACTATGCAATAAAGTGAGACAAAGCACAGTGAGACAGTACCTCTTATCCATTTAGCTCTTTCTGGAATGTCGATGTTTAGAAGTTTTTCAACAGCCAAAGAGTAACACTGTTCATTTGTCATCATAGACACATAATCCAGACGATCAAAGTATGGTAAAGCCTAGAAACAAGAAATGTAATCAGAATACAAACAATACATTTCATATGCCTGGGACTAGTAAAAGCTCAAAAAGCCTTCAGAAATCAATCTTCCTGAAGATGTGATTGGCTTTTCCTTGAAGAACCTAGCAATCCCAGGATAAAATCTGGCAGGCATATGATGCACAAGACAGTCATCACACCAACCAAACTTTTTAAAAACCTTACTAACTGCTAATCTTATACACACCTGTAGATATGTTTTGTACTCTATCAACTTCTCTGTAGCACGATGCAGCAGACCAATATGGGGATCTGCACGCTTTACAACCTGGGAAACAAAACTCAGTTATTCAGGAACTGTCAAATACTATTTCAGTTTTCAGTAGCATAGCAGGCTGTCAATAGGGGCTGTACCCCGTAACACCTGTTACGGCTGAGTATGTTTGATGGGCCCAGTTGACATTAGGGGTGAACTTGCCTGTCGTTATTATAATCAACCCATAAAGTAACATGTTTGTTACAGGTGTGAAGGTCAAGGCTGCAGGTAACTCAAAAATTAATTGCAGCCGTGATAGAAAAGTTGGTACTGTGAGAAGCCACACAACACACTTGAAACTGCTGTAAGCTATAAAAAAAATTATCATGCAGTTTACAAGTCTGAAAATTATTTTTAAATTTTTAATAAATTACTGTGAAAAACTACTTTGAATTCATAGGTGAAGGAAATATATCATGACAACAAAACAAAGAGAACTTTGCCTCTCCATCAAGTTCCAGAACAAGTCGCAACACACCATGAGCTGCGGGATGTTGTGGACCAAGGTTGATGGTCATGTTTGTAACCAGTTTTTCTTGAATAGGAACTACAAAAAAATATTTTTTTTTCAAGAATCAGGGTTGTCACGCAACATCTGTCGTTAGGGCAGAGAAGTGTTGCGTGACTACCCAAACGAACTTAAGAACTGGCGGTTATAACATCTACAGAAAAGTTGGTATTGATTTAAAAATGTGTCTTGGTTTTCTTTCTTTTTTCCTGTTTGATTCTTTGTTTCTTGATTTTGATGGTTGTCAAAAATTTTGTACAAATGGCGTTCCCTAGTCTGTCAAGCAAATGTTCGTCCCAAAAATCAAGATTGCATGACAAGGAAAATAAAGCTCTTCTTCCTACTTAAAACTGATTGTGTTTTGCTGATGCAAAAACTTACCAATAATTGCCACAACGTCAGCCAACATGTGACCAACAGACAACAAGTCCAAACCAGCCTGAAGGGAAAGAAAAGCAAGAGGACCATTTAGAGCGGTTTTCACTTGAGTATCGTAAAGTAATTGGTCTTGTATAACCACGCTAAACCATTGGCTTAAAATAATCGCTCCACTTTTTTTTATCCAATCAGAGGTAAAACTAAGACCAATTGTGACTCACTTGCACACGTTTTCCCGCGCTTTGTGTCGGCTACAAGTTTTTACTTCTAGTTTTGTGTGTATTTCGTGCTTGACCAGAGTGATTACTTTGGTAATGGTTTGACGATACTCAGTTGAAAACTACTCTAACGCTGATATTCACCGGGGTACATATAGATTAGACTTCTTATTTAAGGCAATAAAGGTATATATGTAGGTCTTGACTAGTTGGAACACCTCCTTCTGAGTACTCTATCGAGACTGCCCTCTCATTATTAGGACATGGCTTGGGCCCAAACAGATGCGAATAACTTAAACTCTCTACATAAATTCAACCGGCGACCACAATAGTAGAAGTGATTTGACAAGAAAGGTGAACAAATCATTTGAATGTAAAAATTGTGTTGTTACGCTAAAAAGCAAACAGGATTTATTAGGGAGTTAAAATTATGAAAAGCGATTACTACCTGAGGGTGTGGTCCCAAAATTTTTAAGTTTAAATTTCTATTAAGACTTAGACTTACCAAGTGCGCAAATCCAGGGGCTTTTATCTTACAACGATAAGGTTTGTTGGTGCCATCTGCTACCAAATAAACACCAAACTCACCCTGACAAAATCAAGAACAAACAACATTAGTTTCGCGTTACAACATGTACATGGAAGTCAAAATTGTTTCTATAAGCTATCTAACATAGCAGATTACATTTAGTTGCAGCAAAAATACAATTCACAAATATTCCACCGGAAAAAATTACGGACAAAATATTTGACTACTCTAGACACAGTATTCCGCCTTGTTGGCACCTATGGCATTATATTTTTGTGTGATCTTGGAGCATTTTTCCACCGACCATCGGTGCAAACAGCCTCTGTTGAGCAGTTTAGTGGCTGACATTTACCTTCGGAGCTTCAATTGCTGTGTAAGTTTCACCCGGGGGAACTTGGTAACCTTCCGTGTAGAGCTTAAAGTGGTGGATAAGAGCTTCCATGGACTCCTAAAGAGGTTAATAACAGCCAAATTAGTATTAATTGGTGTTAAGTAATATTTCTGAGACCAAGGGGAAAATAAAGCTTGTAGTTAACTCGCTGCAGAAATAAAATTATTTTTCGCTTCAGTTAAGTCAAGCTTTTACGTTGGGTCGGTTAATCAATCCCTGCTAACTGGTATTTTTCCTGATGAGTAGAAGTCTGATAGGGTTACCTCGTTGTATAAAAACTGCCAAAAGGTCTGGATAGAAGCAGACAAGTTACAATTTTGAGAAACAACACAACGTTTTTCAAAAACATGTTTCAACAGAATCTTCTGTCACCTTCAGTTTAACTCAAAGTACAGCGTTGAATATATAGTGTACGCAAAATGCTAATTGTCTATAAGAACGAAAGGAAACATGACAATGTTAAATAATACAAAGAAAGTTTTAAATTAACATGGTAAAGTTGATGGCTTAGTGTAGGTTTTGCCCATTGAATATAAGTAGCTTCTTTTAACTTAAGCTGGAAGGATACTGAAAACGAGCATGGAATTATGAGCTGGAGTATGGCCGCCATGTTGTGCGACGTCATTGTCGTTGTTGTAGGTCACACGTCCCTCGCAATCCACGCCACTAGCAATGTCAACCATGAAAAAAGAGTCGCATGGCATTCTATTTCTATGCATGCACGATTTTCTGTTCTTATAGTTATGGTGCTCCGCTCTGGGCCGCCGGAGCTCGGCTTATAATCAGTACCACATGAAACTGCTGTTCAACGGTTTTCATTTGAATGGTCACATCCGCCAGGGTTTCATTCACAGACTTAAAAACTAGAGCCAGTTTGCATAGCACAATGAACCACATACAAACCAGTGGCCTTCGTGCAGCAACATCTTTACATGATTTTGAACTTAACATACGTCACCACGGTTTTGAATGAGTTCTAGCACGGCATCCTTGTAAAGCAGCTGTTAATATGTAGTTTAGGTAGGCTAGTTTAGTTAGGGATAATTAGTTGATCTTTTATCATTTTATAACATTTGCTGAAGGATTTACCGTGTATAAATAAAGTTACCATTAGCAATAAAAAGTGATAACTCATCTCGTCCCCGCCTGGGTGACGAGCCCATACAGTGTCCATATAGGAGACTAAAGTTTAATTAAACCATCCTAGCCTCTTTTAGGCGTTCAGTTAGTTGCGGCACAGTGTGAGAAAACGATGGAGCGAAAAAAACAGGGAGGCTGTGTGTGAGGAGCGCAGAGCGCTTCTCTCCTATATGTCTTCGTGCATCATTTTTTGCGCTGTGCTTAACTAACTAACGCCTGGAAGAGACTAAACTAAAACCATGTCGCAAAACTACGGTACCTTCATTTCAGATCTCTTTGGTGGTGTGATCTTGGCGTCATCCACTTTTATTTCACCAGCAGGCATCTTGTTTAAACACTGAAGAGGAGAGAGAAAAAAGTGCAAATTTAATAACAAGCGCTTTAGCTGGTCAGGAGGGCTGCACGACATAGCTTATTACACGTTATCAAAGAATATTAGCAATCTCTTCACAGACCTTTCATTTTCACTAACATCATCAAGGGCACGAACAAAAGAAAAATCAAAGGGGACTAAACGAGCGTAGAGATAAGGAGGTGGGGGTTGGTAAAGACAAAATACAGTTGGACCCTGGTAATTCAGACTCGGTCATTTCAACTTCCCCATTATTTCAANGAAACACAAATATTGCAAACAAACAGTTTAAATTCTTAATCACACACTAGATTTTCATCCACAAATAGTACATCTGCCTCGGTTTCATTTCTTAACTATTAAACAATTATACTATGAGCTTGTAATTTCTATCGCATGATAGTTGGTGAGGGTGCAGGCGGAGTCAACTATCACACACAGAAATTGAGAGCGAATAATCTTATTGTTGAAGCCAGAGTCAACTATCACACATAGAAATCAAGAGCAAATAATCCAATGATTTAAGTATAAACCTAATAGTCATTCAAATCTTTATTTAAATCCTCTTCACAGACGCTTCGAAAACGCAAAGAAGGAGCCATCAATTTGTAAACAACCACACACTTCTAGACTACTCACTATCTACAACAGAAGAGATAATCAAGTAGAACTTCCATATAGTCTCTTTAAGCTTCCAAATATTCAAGAATTTAAATGGAACCTACAGCAAGCAGGATTTTTAAAGCATGATGGATTTTTTTAAGCATGTGATGATATATGTGTCACCAGCTTTCAAAGTGAGTTTAACACCAAGTTTTATATGCACCTGTAGATATGTTTTGTACTCTATCAACTTCTCAGTAGCGCGATGCAACAGACCGATGTGGGGATCTGCACGCTTTACAACCTGAAAACAAAATCTGAACAAGCTTGAATTCTAATCTCAGTCTCAGTTTCAGACTTCAACTCCTCAGAACAAGAGTACCCATGCAATATTCAAAATGAGACTCAGTCCAAATTCTGAAACTTGATTATGTCTAAGTTCATACAAATTCCAGTGACTAATTGAGATTCATTTATTTAATAAATAATAATGAAAGACTTTCAAGCATAAGATTTGGAGCTGTTCAAGTTACAGAACAAGTTCCTTGATGGGTATGTACAGACTATAAATTAGAGTTAGACTTCATCTGATGCATACCATCAACATCCCACTTAGCAGACTCTGAATCAGGGTACAACACAGTTCCTGCATAGGAAGCTAATTCAGGCTGCAACTTCAGTGGCTTCATTTCCTCTTCAAGTTCACTCACTGGAAGTCGTCGTAAGTGCCTGATCAGAGACCAAGAACAACAAAGCACAGAGTAAGAAAGATAAGGTAAGCAGGTGAAGTGTCTGATAGTCTATTAATCAGGCCAGCGTTTATCTTTAGTTTTAGAAACATTAAAGAACAAGTACTGTACTGTAGATTTCAACTCCCCCTGGGTGGTAAACTTCTTCATTTACAGAGTTTTCCCTAGCATTTAATTTACTGG